AGGTAGTAATATACCTACCAGGCTGCCTGCAAGTGAGGAGATGCAGGAGTATGAAAAGATTTTGAAAATAAGTGACGATATCTTTTCTGGAACTCACCCTAGGTTGAAGGTTCCCCAGCAGTTCGTGCGCAAGCCCGCCTCGCGAGGCCCCCCTGTCTCGACTCCCACCCAGGTAAAATCGGGTGACCAACTCAAGTCTCCCCCGAAACCCCAGCTTCCTCCGTCCGCTCCGTTAGCTCAGAGGCCGGCGACATCGCAGGCTCCCAGTGCCGGAAGTGCTCCTTCCGGCGCGACCGGGCCGTCGCGTTTAGTCCCTAAGCCTGCCTCGGAGATTGATCCCATATTTCTGACCAAGTCAGATGATCTAGTCAGAGCTGAGATACAACTACAGCGGCAGCGGGTGGAGAGAGTGCTGCGGGAACAGTTGGAACAAAAAAGGCAGGATTCGAGGCAGAAGGCCTCTCTACAAGACACAAAACCAGACTTTGACGTTTCTGATGTGCTAGTGAAGGCCTTTGAGATGGTCAAACCGTCTCCGTCCGTGGATGCACCTGGTGCTGGAGAGCCCGGTGACTCTTTTGACGAGAACTCGTTCTACTCCAGTAGAGCCCCTGACTCTCCCCAGCAGGGCGAGCCGCAGCGGCAGTCTCCAGCTCCCCAGTCTAATTCGGAGGAGCTGGCTACTGAAGCTCCAGCAGAGAACTTTTCAGATGAGTTGCAACGGCTTGAAGCCCTCAACAGAACTGGATCGGATCAGGATGTGCAAGATACTTACCCCGTGGCAGACCACCTAGTACCCTATGATCAGAGGCAGCCGCACCATGCTGAGGTGGACGTCGCCGTCCGCAAATATCCCGAACCCGACCAGCCGACCGACGCGTATGAAGAACCAGAGTATTCACCACCGGCCCCCGGGGTAGCGCCTATGGAGAGGGATGATAATTATGGGTCTCAACGGGGTTATGCGAACGGGACAAAACGACGAGCACCGGAAGATCGAGTGCCCGAGCGGCATCGTCGGTCTCGGAGATCACTCTCACGGGGAGGCGATGTAAGAATTGTGCGAAATCACATAACCTCCCCTGCTGCTCCGCAGCCGTCCAGAGTCTCCCCCTTAGCCATCGCCAAGGTGCCCTCAGTCCATCAACTAAAGGACTCGCGTCCGGATTACGGTCCAGAGCGCCATGCTAGCCCTGAGGTTCCTGCTCAGCCATTGACGTCTAGGAAACGTAGGAGGTTGCAGGATGACAGAGGTCGTCCATCGTATACTAGAGCGCCAGCAGCGGCCCATGTTGAAGAAGCATTCATCAAGGAAGAGCCCGTTTCACCTCCGCCATTCACAGACACTCAACACGCTTACCGGACCCGCCAGCCACAAGAAAGACCAGTGTACATTGACATTGCTTCCCCGCGCTATACTCCCGTATTAGAACGGCGAGAACCACAGATTAGGGAACCGGCATATGAGTACGAGGTGTACGAGCCCCATGCTGAGCCGGGTATTCAGCGCACCCTTTCGAGACTTAGTGCTCGCCGGCCAGTCCGGGACGATCAAGACTTGCGCAGAGTTGCTAGCTTGCATCAGGCTCGGCAACCCGAGTATGCTCGTGAATATGTTGACCAAGCCAGTCCCCAGTCCGTGCGGGCCGGGTCGTATGCTATTGTTGAGCGTCCACCACCTGAGAGAATTCGATACTATGATGAGCTGGCGCAGCCACCTCCTACGAGACGCTATATTCCGGCTGGCGAATCGCCCAACTCACCACGATATCATGATGCTTACTATGAAGAGGAACCTGCAGCACGGGCGATGGCACCTCCACCGCGTCGGATAGTGGTTGACGAGCATGGCAATCAGTACTACGAGACGTTGCCTGCTCCAAGACTGCAGGCTATGCCTCCGCCCTCTACTCGACTACCCAGAAGTGACGTCTACGACGACCGTACACCACTGCGCACGGCAAGCGTGCGAGCGGCGTCTGTTCTCGAGGATCCGTATGGCGGTCGGCGATACGTGCAGGACATGCCACCTCCACCGACTGCCTACCGGCGAGTCACCGACTACGCTCGTCCGGCTCCCAGCGAACGGCGACCGTACACTGGAGCTTTGGATGAACGAGAGCCGTTTCCCCGTAGTGCCAGCGTGCAAGTGACGGAATACGGGACTCGCCGTCCCCCTTACCTGGACGAAGCCGAGCTTCCCCGGGAGCGGATCGTCCGGATGCCGAGTGTGCGCCCGCCCACTAGTCGGTACGAGGAGCCGCCGATGATTCAGCGGGTGGAGAGCGTGCGCCCGAGCGGTCGAGATGTGAGCGTCTACATGGATGACGCTGCTGCCCGGCAGCCGAGAGAATACATTGAGCGGCCTGTATACGTTGCTACGCGCCCTGTGCGGGACGAGCGCTATTACGATGGCAGTAACCCAGCGGAGCGGGTCATCCTCGACGGGGGGAGGGACGTAGTCCACCGAGTACCTCAACGCTACTGAGGAACGACGTATCATACTATAATGACCACGTGGACATGGAGATGATGGCCCACAATGATTGATTGATTGATTGATTGATTGTATTTGGTGCATTCGCCTCGGATATATCAATTGCCTTTGATTGATTTGAATTCTGTTGTATCTAAAAAGCGTTTTGTATTTGGATGTGTCGAGCATCCTGTACCATAGTATAGCAGCACATCACTATGAGGGGAGAGAGAGAGAGAGAGAGAGAGAGAGAGGTGGGGGGGATAAAGAATGGCATGAATAGCCGCATAATCTCTTGCATCAGAAATACCACTACAAATCGTTTAGAAATCGGGTGTCAAGTGACATGATTGATTCCACAACACAATGGCTTCATCATCGCAAGACGGCTGTTGACAGGTTCCGAGGGAGGTGTAGTATGAACACGATATAAAAATGCAAGATCATCAACCTACCGTGGCCATTACGCTGGCATGATTTCAGCATTCGAATTGGAGATAGCAAGCAGACAAAGATACCCGAGAATAGAACAGACAAGTGAGACAAGGGGTAGGTTAGGTGTATAGTAGTAACCTCCTTACTCCTTGGTTGGTAGATAGGGAAACAGACATGCCTCCTCCGGTCATGTTAGGGAATCTTCTCCTCACGGACGGAGAAGAGAGGATAAACCAACAAATTTGATTCATGGATAAGTATATTCATTTCATCCAATATCAAAGTTATGTATTGATCATTATTGGAAGAAGATTTGAAATGGTATGACTGCCGTGTGTGGACAGTTTAGTAGTAGTTGACTTGGTTTTAGTTAGTTTGAAAGGAAGAAAGGGGGGTTCATCTAATGTAGTGTGGATTCCTCAGCGGCATTTATATGTTGGGTAAGTAAGTAGGTAAACCTATTCGAGAAAATTCTGCAGGCAGCAAAGAATAGATTAGTTAGTTAGGTGGAAACTGTGTTAACTAAGAGGTTGACTAAAGTAGTTGCCAGTTTTAAGGTAGTTTCGTTTAGTTGAGTCGCTAAGAGTTAAGGGATCGATCGGTAGTAAGTAGGGTAGAGTTAGTCTAGTCTATGCTGTGTAAGGTAAGTGTTAGTCTTTATATCAGTTCTTCGTTAGACTAGAGTACGCAGTAGTAACAGCACGAAGGTGTATACAGAGTACAGTTGTTGGATGGATAAGGGTTTAAAGTACTTTTTGGCGCTTGCTTTTGTTCTGTTTAGTCTGTTTGGTTTTAATCCCTGCTGCTGCTGCTGATTATCCCTGATGATGTTGGCTATGGCATTATATGTAATCTAGTATGTAATGTTACCTAGTAAGTAGCTCCTTAATATGGAACCATAGAATGAACAACACACCACTTACTAGTACCTACTATTCTCAGAGCACATATACATACCCAAAAGTACTACATGCAATGTCGATATGTAAAGTAACTTACAAAGTACTAAACAAGTAAAGCAAGTAAGTAACTTCTTACCATGAAATGACGGTGATATCCAGACCCACATCCCATGTCGCCGATAGATGACGTCGACGAAATATATCTCTCCTCGATCGTTGGATGATCTTTTTACTCTCTTTTACATCACCTTCCACCTAACTTGATCATCACAACAATATGTTTTTCCAATTAGCGGTAATCTTCATATTGAGATAGATATAGTGTACATTGTCATGCCATTATTGTGGTGGGTTGTGGGCTGTGTGGGTTATGGTGAAGTGGTTACATCAGTGATCAACGGTGGGTTGCTGCAGGCAGTTGTTAGAACAGGACAGAAAAGGATGTATCCTTACGTCCGGTATCTGTCTGTCTGTCTTTTTGTCTTACTTGGGACTTTTTTATTATTGGCATCATAGATACTTACTGTAGGTACTTGTGTAAATAGTACCTGAGGGGATGGATAATACATTATTCTGTCTACGTTATCATCATAGACTCCATATATTGTAGTCTTATATATCCAGAGCCATTACAAAGTGATGCAAGCAATTCAAGACAACCGTAATACAATTGTATAACCCAAACCTTAACATCAAACGTTGATCATCCCCAATTCCTCCGACACACACGGAGCGATGGAAGAGTGGCTGTTGGTCCACGGATCCAGAAATATTCTACCATTGGGTGTGTCCCCGGGTAGGCTAGACACTACTAGATAGATACTTACCTTAGATAGTGCTAAAAGGTGAAAGTAAGAATTATCGTGATCACGATAACTAGCCCAAGCTTGACTGTGACACAGGGAAATTTCCCCTTGCCATGGATGATATCGATCGATGGGATACTTAGTACTCAGTCCCGGGCGGAGGAGGAAAAAAAAAAGAAAAAAAGAGGGAAAAGGTCCAAGTCATGATACACGGTGACGCAAGGTGGGTTTATCACTTGTCTCAGGATTTCGGGGTCTTACTTGATTCGTTTCACTTGTGTTATGTGTATGTCTGTTCTGTTTATCAGACTTAACTGGTTAGTTCAGTTTGGGGTCTGTGTTGGGTGGCTGTTGTCTGTATGTCAGGTTGGGTAGGTTGGCACATGACTAGTTACTTTACTATCTATTTTCATCCCTACTGTATATGGATATCTGTCTTAGTCTTCTCGTATATGCTATAGCTGGGTAGGAATAGGTAGTAAAATTCCATCCGTCTCCATAGCACCCATCGAGGTATAAGGTATCCCCAAGCCGGTCTGACTGGAATGGTATGGATAGACAAGACAGACAGACGAAGGACGACGCCAGTGGCAAATGGGGAGCCAGCCAGCCAGCCAGCCAGCCAACCGGGCCACACCCCCTCTCTCTCTCCCTCGATTCCCAGGCATCCTACCTTACTATCTTTCTTCCTGCCCTCCCGAGTTCCCCGGGAGAAAATACAAAGTGATGATGTACCTTACCTGGTGGAACAATACCCTTTCAAGATAGCCACAACCAATCATGAGGAGTGGATGGGTATGGCGCGCTGGCTGCTTTTGCCCCGGTACCTACAGGTGTCGAGCTGTGGATGGCAAACAGCTTGCTTTCCTGGAGCTTCCGAGCTGGTGTGTGTGTGTGTGTGTGTCCGACACAAACCGGGGATACATGATTGATTGATAACTTGCAGATGCAGATGCAGCTGCAGCGGCAGTTGCATTGATGTGTGGAATTGTTGTAGCTACGTAAGTTATCTCCTTGGGGAGGCTATTATTGAGCCTGAGGCATGAGTACTGTGTAACTAAATACAGTAAGAGGAATACAGCGTGATGACAACACACACGTGATCTACAAGACGGGACCGGGATTTCTCGCTTGCAGACCTGAAACGGGCAAAGCCGGGTGGAGCCGTGCAGGGACGACTAGGATGAACGCAATCGAGGTTGAGGAGTGGAATATCCCCCCTCCCTCATCCCTCCCTCCCCCGTCTGCTAGTAGGGGTTGCTGTGTTTGGAAGAATTAGAGAGGTAATTAAAGGAATGGATAACTTTATGTATCATTTTTATAAAGTATCTGACTCGAGATAAAAAGAGAGAGAGAGTGTGTGTGTGTGAGAGAGAGAGAGAGTTTCTGGGCCAGAATTGAGTTTACTTTTTTCCCCATGGTGATGACGAGAAATGGACGACAGGCCCAGTAGTAAAGGTAGTCAAGAGAGTTTCCGAGTGGAATTCCAAGGCCAGTCAGTCAGGTCACCTCAGATACTAGAACTAGTGCTACCAAAAGTATGTTGGCGGGTGGATGATGAAAGGAGTCATTCTTTTCTGGAAATGATGATTGGAGGGGGGAGGAGGGACGGACCCTAAGGAGGTCGAGATTCAGGCGATAAACCCGGCCTACTACTAACTAATTAACTAACCTAACTACTTTGTGGTTAACTAACTAAATCGCGTAAGCTGGGAAAATCATAAGAATAGTTAGTTAGCAAGTGATCAGAGCGAGGGGAGAGGGAGAGAGTTGTGGCACTGGCACTGGCAGCAGTAGCAGCAAGCAGCAGGAATGGCCACACCAGGTTTCGAGTGGTACTTTGGCCCAGACGATACAAACATTGGGCCTAGACACTGGGCTGAGTACCCGCCCTTCCCGCCTGAGGATTCGAAGGGGAGTGACCATCATCATCATGGGAATTGAACGATGAGAAGAAGGTGGGATGGGATACATTGTGAGAAGAATAGATAGAAATTTGATGTCTATAGTGATTATTAACATAGTGCTCAACTGGATCTAAATAGGTAAAGATTATGAACAGAATTCATGTGTAACTTGACTTTCCCCAACGGTATGTCAGTATAAGCTGGTAACTTGACTAGTAGTAAGCTCCTCGAGGTCGAGTCCCTTTGAGATCGGTGCCTGGGGAAAATTAGAGAGAAAGAAAAGAAGGTGTGAAGAAAAGGGAAATTCCCACTTCTGACGCTTGACTCTTGACTGACTTGTTGCTCAGCTCTTCTGCTGCTCTTCTCTCCGCCCCTCCAAAAGTCAGTCATCCATCCACACCAAAGCAGCTGAAAAGAGGCGCTGACTGGCTCTGTTGCTTGCCTGAATTCGGCCAGAGGAATTCCATCCATTCCCTTTCCATCATCTCTCTTTCTTGCTCTTCCCTACCTTTTCCCTCTCTTCCTTCCATTCTCCTCCTCCCCTCCCCCAAATCCAGTCTAAAGCTTTTTGCTGCTGGTGCTGCCAACAGACCCAACGCCGTTTTGTTGATCCATCATCCCATTCTCGTTTTCCCCTTCCACTTCCTCTTCCTCTTCCTTTTATTTTTTTTGCCTTGGATTTATTTCCTTCTTCCCTTATTTTTTTCTTTTTCCTTTTTCCTTCCTTAGTCCTGCCTTTTTTTTCTTTCCCACTTCCGCGCCCTCCCCCTCCCTCTTCGTTTCCTTCCAATCTGCTTTCTTTCTTCTTCATCTGTGCACCTCCCCCTCCCTTCTTGCTTGATACCCGTTTTGGTTGTTAGAACCTGAATTGTGATTCATCCTTTTCCCTCCCATTCCGATCCCACCCCCGTCGGTGGCCAGTCACCCTCCACCAACGGCCACTTTCTCCTCTCCATCTGCGCGCCCACTTCCTGTCGGGAACGGCGACTGCAGCCCTCGACTGTCACCTTTTCTCTCTCCAATCCCGTCCGTCTACTCTCATCCTCCGCTTCTTCCTCCCCCTCCTCGCCCACCCGTTCGCCATTCCCTCCCCTCCGGTCTTCCACACCCTTCTCTCCCCTCGACTTGTTCAAGGGGCTAGAGACTCGACCTCCCCTTGTCATGCACAAGATCTCCAATTTCACGGGCCAAGCCCGTCATGGCTGGGAGCGTATGACGCCCACTTTTGGCATGTCTCGACCGCATACCGACATGACTTCTCACTCCCTCCGTCGACCGCATGGCGCGCCGCCCATGACTCCTCCGACTGGAATCGACCCGACCGTCAATCTCTCGTTTAACGTGCCCTTCTCCTCGACTCTCGCCGGTCCCGACGTTGACGATGTCCTGCATGCGAGCCCTGGCGCCCTTCAACGCTGGACCTTCCCCGAGGGCACTCCCGAAGGCACCCCCGTCCACCAGCTTCCCGTTCACGCGAGCAATGTCGACGCCTTGCGGAGATTGTGTCGACAAATCACCGAAAGCAGTAACGGGAGGGTCGAGGCGGCTGTGACCTCGTCGGAGCCCAAGACTGTCCCTTCGCTACAACGGCGCCCTCAGGGTTTGGCGACCAACGTCTGCATCACGGGTGATGGAGAGACGGTACGGAAGATGCGAGCTAGGGTGTTGAACGAGACCCCCATTTTGTTGGTATGTTGATATCTCGACTTTTCATACTCTGGTGCCTGGGATCCGTTTCATCCGCTAACGGGTTATGTTATAGCGATGTGCGACCGTGGACGTGGACATGCACCTGATCGTGGATGGAACCACCAAGAATATCCGAGCGAGCGTCTTGGAGCATTTGGATACGCTGGCGGCTTATACGGGCACGGACATCTTCCTCCTGAGCCCCAAAATCCGTGACACGGATAGTGCGGTGGTGTCTTCTTATGGATACGCCTCAGACAATGGGCTGGATCAACGCTTCCGGGTGTCCATCTACGGCGATATGGAGAGCGCTGAGCATGCCAAGACCAGGGTCTTGATTATGATCGATCAGATTGTGGGTTCTTTCTCTTCCGACCGATCAACGTCCGGCAAACTAACTGTTACTAGCTCAAACGTCACGTGGACGCTGTGAAGCTGGAGCTGACCATGCACACCTTGGTCTGCGGCCGTACTCGCAAGAACATCAAGCTGATCGAGGCTGCCACTGGCACGGCCATTTACTTCCCGCCGCCGTTCCCCCGCATCTTCGGCTACACGCCGCCGGGTGCTCACCGTCGCAGCGAGAACGAGGTCTACATCACCGGTGATACGCAGGAGCAGATTGCACGTGCGAAGCAAAAGCTTCAGGAACTTGTGATGGGCGTGAAGATCTACGTCAAGGATGTCATTGTCAACTCGAACAAGATCGACAACATTCTGCTCGACCGTCTGGACAAGGTCCGCAAGGTGATGGAGATGAACGGCTCTTACGTCCTCTTTCCTCAGCTCGGTACGCAGCGGGGTCTGGTTCGTATTCAGGGCACCGAAGTGTTGCACGTCGAGCGCACCGTGCGGGAGATCATGGCTTTGGTATGTGACACTGTACTTCATCCCAAGCGGCGTCGTGTCTGACTAACGTTTGCAGGCTGGTCAATTCTACAGTGCGTCGTGGTGGATCATCATGCCCGACCCGTCGCAAGGGGGTTTCCGGGCGCCGTCTCCCGCAGACGTCCGCACCATGCTCTCTGACATCTGCAGCAACTCGGGCGCTGAAGTTAGCTTTGACAACCTGACGTTCACCATCAATGGCTCGGATGACGCGGTCAAGGCGGCGATGATGGTGATCAACCAGATCCCGTTTGTGCAGCGCAGCCAGTACCAGATGCGCGTGAAGATTGAACTCGCCAACGAGCACAAGGAATTCGTCAGCGGCAAGAAGAACGGCAAGATCAACAAGATCATGGGCCAGAGTGAGTTTATTTCAATCGCTACATGAGTCACGTACTAACGGATGCAGGCAACGTGCAAATCATCTTCGATGGTTTCAACGAGTACAACTTCTACATTGACGTGTGTGGAAACCAGTACGAGTCTACCAAGAATGGCTTGGATCTTGTTGAACAGGAAATGCCGGCGTCGATCTCGTTCCACGTGCCAGACCAGTACCACAAGCGCATTATCGGCATTGGCGGCCAGCACATCCAGCGCATCATGAAGAAATACTCGGTGTTTGTCAAGTTCTCCAACGCCATGGACCGTGGCGGCATGGGCAAAGAGGAGGACGACATCAAGGTTGACAATGTCATTTGTCGGACCCCTGCGCGTAATGCCCAGAGCCTGGACCTGGTCAAGCAGGAGATCATGGACATGGTCGAGAAAGTCGTAAGTTCGCCATTCCCGGGTTGAAATTCGTTGCTAATTGGATAGGACGCCGAGTATGTCTCTGAACGTGTCGTCATCAACCGGTTGTATCACCGTGAACTACTCGCGCGCATCTCTGAAATCGATGAGCTCGAGAAGAAGTGGAACTGCAAGATCGAGTTCCCTAGTACCGAACTTGCCAGTGACGTCGTGACTATTTCCGGACCCGAGTACCAGGTCCCACAGGCCGTTGACGCCTTGCTGGTAAGTAAACTGCTCATCATGGATATCATCAGTTCTAACCTTCGCAGGGAATGGTTCCGGAGAGCCACGAGCTACTCTTCCAGAGCTCTGCCCAGCTGCGCGAGTATTTCAAGTCGACCGAGTTCCACGACGACGTGTGTGCCAAGCTCAAGGACCAATACGAGGTCGATACCACCGTCGATACTAGTTCGGACCCTCCGGCCTCGGCTTCGGAGAGTGGCTCTTCTTCTCCCGTCTTCGGGCCGGAAGACCGGGTTGTGCTCGGATATACTCGCAACAATGCCGGCGGACTCAAGGATGCCATTGACTTCCTGATCTCTCGATTGGTCGCTCACGGCCTCGACGCGACTACGGTCAAGGGAGCTATTCCTCGCCCCAAGTCGGACTCTTTCGAGGAGTCTCTCCCCTTCTTCGACTCCAAGTTGCTGCAGCATGCGCCCGCTCCCATTGTCACCGACTCCCCCACTCGCCCCAGTTTCTCGGATGAGACCAGCGAGCGCGGGTCCATCTTCGAGAGACTGCGGAAGCCCGGCAGCATCTCTTCCTTTTCTTCGTTCATTGGCCGCAAGAATCACTCGGCCTCTCCCGGATCCTTCTTCAAGCATGCGTCCAGTAACGCCTCGAAGGCGTCACTGGTCTCCATGGAGTCTCGAGACAGTGGCTACCGCAACCCATGGAATGATTCTGGCGTGAACCTTGCCGAGGACGACGTGCCTGTCCTCGGAAGTTCTCACAGCCACAGCAGCAGCAATGGCTGGCCCGCGCGCTTTGACACCAAATTTCCATTCGGTACCGCGCCAGGGGACATGACTCCCAAGCATGACCCGCGCGCTTCTTTTGACAGTGGTCGTCCTAGTACTTCCAATTCTACTTCTGGATACCCGGCCCCAATCGGGCCACCGCGTTAAAATCAATGTCAATTTGCAGCAGTATACCCCAAGAGACTTCTGTTTTTTTTTTTTTTTCATCGTTTAGTTTCTGTTTTTCGTTTTGATTTGTTGTCAGCGATTCGTGTTTCGGATTTATTTTGATACCACAGAGTGCAAGTCAAATAAGACGTCAGGAAGTGAAAGAAAAGATGCAAAAAAAAGCAATAGAGGGAAGAAGAATACGAGAAAGGCATTAGCGTTGTGATCCTTTCCTTCCCTGCCATATTCTCCCCTCTACCCCTGGTTTTCATTCTTGCGAGATGTTCGTTGTGATCTTTTTGTGCTTGGTCGTTTTCAGCCGGGGGGTGTAGGTGCCAAATGTGTGTGCCCTTGGGAAGGTTTTATATGAGATACCAAACCGTGGAAGATGGGAAATTTTGCGTTCATACATTCCAGATATGATACCAAGTGAAACGATGGTGTACGAAGGTGTTTTTCTTGCTACAGATGTCGGTTTTGAAGTGATCATTGCAATCGCATATTTGCCTTTTGCCTGGGATGGATACTTCCCAACCAACCATTTAGGCTCTGCCCTGTTTCGTTTTGGTCATGCTTTTTGTGCCTTTATTATATATACCTCTATGCGTATGATATCCAAGATCTATAGCGCGTAGTCATGAATGGGGTTGATGTCTCGTTGCAACGTGCTGCTTATAGGTAACGTAGATTGATAGACTACCCACAAGTCACAATAGGATTTGCGTGCATCAGCATTCGATAGTGGTGCAAATACCAGCCAAGTCTTACAGGAATTCCAACCACGTCTTTAGAGCAAACAAGGAGCCCTATACCACTTCATTGAATACTTCAACGTCAATACCATCATATACCCTATAGTATCATCCCCTTCACTCGAATACTACTACATTCAACCAAATCCTCTTCACCATCCTCATTCCACTCTATTCGCTATAGCCACTCACTTACTTGCCATCATTACCTGAGATGACCACCTCCCTCTACTATATAAACCCCCTTCCTGCCTGCCTGCTAGCCTCCATCTTCTCTATCTTCCTCTCAAACCATATCTATACCTCAATATCTATACAGATTCCCATGATGAAGAATACCCTCCATCGAACATAATGGAAATATCAATACTTATACACAATCTACGTTCCAAGATCCGAGTCTTCCATCCAAAGCAAAGATAATATCTATACTACCTAAAATATTAAACATACTACTAATGAAGCATCTCCGCACCCACCCGGTGCATTACATTGAACTTGCTCACGCTGCAATACACACACCTGCACAGCGAGAATGAGCCGCTATCAAACGTCTGTCCGAACATACGACAGCAAGGAATGGAAACTTATATTTCCTCAGGGAGGTGGTACCATGCATCGTCTGTGGAGTTGACCTCCACACGGATAGGTTTGTATTTGAAGTCATACCGAGGCTACCTCGCAATGGAAAAAAGGAGGAAAGGTTGGGGAAGCGGGCTAGAATCCAATCTGTCCGATCCGTACAAGTCTTTCCGGGTTTTCTAAAGGGAGGTATAACGAATAGATCCTACGGGGTTTTAGCAAATAACTACCGAAGATATCATCGAAAGCGATCAATATCTCGGAGGTATGCGGACGCCTCAGCCGGTTCTGAGGACGAAAGATTGCTCTGCAGTCAGCAATTTAATTCCTGTCTTGAACCAAGCTCTCCCCAGACCTAAGTACTAGTTTTGCTAGGCTAATTATGTGTCCAAAGGGTTGTGCAACATACAAATTGGCTCTTCCACTGGGGAATAATAGCAGTTAATACCTCTTGATTAAAGGGGAAGGCAAAAGGTATGGGAATGAATTAACAGATGATGTCTATCGATATATGGCTCGTCTGAAATCTTTCCGTAGATTTAATGGATCAACTTCGAAAGAGAAGTGGATTCTTCTTTTGGATATCTTACCAAATTAAAACCGAATATCTCATCTGAATTCCACATACCCACCTGGGCCTAGAAGCGGGAGGACACTCGCAAAAGTGACAAGTGAAGAACTGGAGTATATATTCGGGGCAGGAAAGGATTATATATGATTGAGTGATCGGTTGCTACTGTTCGCTATTCTAGCTGTCCGGTACCACGTGTTAACATCCAGCAAAGCAAGAGAATCTGATAACCAGCTAACATTCTGATGAAATTGGCCTGAACCTTCAGAAGTGCTGTTTAAGAGCCATTCTCATGGAGCGTTTCAATGGAGTAGACTCGCAGCTTTAGGGATCAGGCGAGACAGGACGAGACCGAACGTCTTGATCTTCTCAGGGAGGAGGAACTTGCGCCAGGGACGTGATCAAGCTCTAATGACATGTTACCGAGACTGGCTAGAAGAAAGATCAAAATCTTCTGTTGTCTCGCTGATCCGCGCGTTATTGGTATATTGGTCTGAGACTGAATGCATATGGCAATATTCTGTCTCTATCTATCTATCAAGAAGCTGAGCAGATCGAACCCAAGCAAGTATGATCATTGGTTCGGTTGCTTTGTAAAAGCTAGTGGTGGTTACGCTCTGCTTAATGTACGTCTGCAGATTCATAACGATACTACTCTCTGAGGAAGTGGTCGAGGCATGTTCGTCTTCTGAGTCACCACCAGGAATGACAGACGTAACACTTCACGGCAAGATGTCTAGCAACGCAAGACCTACAAGAACACTCCCCTACTCAGTGGCAGGTATCTTGTCCTCCTGCAGTCTCGTGTGACTTTCCACCCCATCAGCAAGGCGCATATAAGCCTACAGGTCTTTATGGAAGCCAGACATTCGCTGCTACTTGATTTGATCAGAATCGCACATCTGAAAGCCTGGACGGTAACGACAGGATCCGGAATAGTGTGTAGTTTTAGTCTATGCATATTTAATATACATCCCCCATTTCAGTCTATCAATATATCCTTTCCATCTTGATCCACTAGCCTTCGGACTATCCTGCGTGCTTATGGAATCCCATAAAAGTTTTTGAACACCTTCAGTCCCTCATCCCCTGGGAGTTCAGTGATGTGACATGTGAAGTGCAAGTGGCGGTGGAAATCACTTCGTTTTGTCTCTATCAGCAACTGGTACTTGTCCTGTATGCACTACCTACGACATATACCAATGCTAAATCGAGCTGGTCGACTATGGACATCCGTTGTTATATGGATGCATCCTTTTCGGGACCATTGTTTTATGGAGAAGGTGTGGAGGAACCCAATCAAGGTTGGTTGGTATACTCGGTCTCGCCGGCTTGCTATAGACTTGCCCAGGCCTACAGAGTCTGCTAGGATGGCGCCTTCTGTCCTCTTCTCGGTCCAGATCAGCCAAAGTTTTCAAATGACGGTTCTTTGCCAGAATCTTGATGAGCAACTCTGGACTATCCTCGGGATGCGGGGATAGTCTAGATTGGTGATGGTAATAATTGCGAGTTCCTCGTTTGTATAATCAACCTGAACTTCGCTGTTATTCAACCGTTTTTGATGGTCCCAGAGGCGAGTGACAACCTCAGGGCTCAGATTCAGCAGAGTCTCGATGGAAGATTCTATCAACTCCTGGTCTATCTTTAGATAGACCCAGTCGTTGCTGTCAGTTGCTACACCATAGCTAGGCACGACTGGCCTCTTTGCATGGCGTTTCATTATGCTTGACTGATAAGTCCCATTATGTAACAAGACTATAACTCAAGTAAGTAGTATTGTATATTTGCGCAATAGCATTAATACTTCCCATATGTCGAGGCCAGTCCATTTTTTCAACCGCCTTGGCTTCCACAATGATGGTATTAGTCTGCTAAATTGGCATCTTTGTGCCCCAAAGAGTAATCGGTGTGGCCCTGTAGGAAGTATTTTCTCTCATCGTAGATCTATTTAACTTCTCAAATGAAAGGTGTACCGACTTAGACAACCCCTGCAGAGAGGACGAAGAGTTGTGGCTAGCCGACGAGGTACCACCCACTTATTGACGGCTAGAATTGTGAGAAAGATGGCATCCAGCTGATACCTAATTAGGGCTTCATTCTGGCCAGGATCGTCCTCAGCAATTCAAAAGTCAGCTAGGATTTGTCCTTGTCATTCATAACTTTGTTGGTCATATCCAGTGATAGTCAATAGCAAGCCGCGACTCACTTATATAGTCTGAGAAAGCCTTTCTTGACTGCATGCTTTCCGTCATTTGCTCAGAAATGAATGTTTTCCACTACCTGATATGGGATGAGAGTCTGTCTCTTTACTTTATTCCAGAGCTTGGTTGTTCCCTAGCCTGTCTTCCGCTTGAGCTTCGACGATTATTGTATTTTCTCAGTTACATACTGGCTCTTCTATGCCAGAATGCGTAACCTGTCTTTTCGTTGATATGTCGGTTTTGCATGGGCATCTTAGCCATTTTTCAAATTGCAGATGCACTGGTCAAACGGGCCCATTCAATCATCGACAGTCTGTGGATCAGAATATTGTCCATATTGACACTTCCTGGCTGTTAGTCTTTCGATTAGGTTTTCCCACCACCAAGATTCTTTCTGTGGACTCCCCATTGTATCTAAGTAAGCTGCTTTCAAGCCCCTATATTCGATCAAGACCGCAACTGTGCTTGTGAAACCATACTTCTCCATGACACCTCACCAACTAAAGCCATGGCGATGTGGCATGGCATTGTTAAGAACCTCGAGGGCCGCCATGACTCCAATTTCTGGCATGTATTCTAAGAGTCGTCCCGTTGGATTCGTCCTCTCGCTATTTGCCTATCGCAGCTCATCTATTGAGCAGGCCCTTACTCTTTGCAGCATCCTGTAAAGGTGTTAGGATCTGTGAGATTATGACTCGGTGTTTTTGAGGGGTTAGTGCATGGACCAACACTGTGTCTCCTTCCCTTAAGGAGGCTTCCTGTGTTTTCACGAGGCATTCCTCTTAATTAGTATATACTTCCCGATTTCAATCATTGTTACATCGGCAGTTGGTCGAAACGTAGCATCCGTATACTTCCAAAGGTGTTTGTTGAACCCCCTCTCAGCTTCGGCAGACTTTTGAGATAGTTCTTAATCCCCCGTTTGGATTGACATAGGTCACCAACCACGTGCGGAAGGCTTCCTGGTCCATCTCATCCCTAAATAAAACGTCTTCGGTGTGTACTTCCAGACTTAGAGTTTGTACTCCATCTCGGGTCTGAACACACAGGCTAGCCTAGCTTCGGAAAGTCGATGTACTGAAACTTGCTGGAACTGGTAGTATCGTTTCCATACAGTCAGTATGTGATTCGAGCAATACATCTCCCTAGGGTTGCGACTAGACAAGTTCGGATCAAGGCTTCATTTTCGTATGAGCATTACTCCTTCCGATTTTTCACTATAGAACTTATTCGATAAGCATGTAACCCCACGTCCATCCGTACTGTATCAGTGCGAATTGTGAATCCCGTCTTCGATGGGAGGACGTAGCGTACCAAGCTATTCGCCTATACGGCGAGCATTGCAGTTATCAGCAGATAACGCAACTTTCTGGTAGCCATTCCGGAAAGCTGTACGCTTATGAATATCGATTTCGAATCATCGCCTTTGTACGGGCTATCATCAGGCTTATTCCGTCCTCTGCAAATGAAGTCTGGGGTGTAAGAAGTGTAGCACGGGGCTAAGGCACCCCATGCTGAATCTCGTACAGAGCCACTTGTGCCGCTGATTCTCAACGAAGACATCGGCCTGATAAAGAGAGTTGCCTCTGTAGCTGATATGTTTTGTGGGTCGACCACTTCTATGCCCTTTTCCCATCGTCGGACCTTTTCTTTCAATATTGCTTATGTTTTACTCCCTTGCATCTTTTATCCAAATGGCCCAGGTCGGCACTGGTCGCTCTCACTCCAGGTAGATGATAGATGAAACTTTGGTGAGAGCTGTGCTTCGATCTGTCTGAATGGTTGACCTCGTTTGTACATTGCTGGGAAAAAAGAGCGCTGATGCATTCTGAGTGGGCATATTTACCAGATGTTTTTCGATGGTAGGTGGGTTTGAGGAGTATTACTCTCTGGAAGTTTCGTCCTTGTAGTACTCAGAATCCGAGTACCACTAGGATTTTTAGCGTGTCTGTCGTGGTTTTAGCTGGTAGGGTTAATCTTATTGATATCGTATTATAAGTTCTTATGGAACGATGTGTGGTTTATGATGGTATTGGCGAAGTACCCCGTTATATGAGATAGCTATTATATATAACAGAAGATATCATAAGAAAGCCAGGTCCAATGCTGATGAAGAAGGAGGACTAGAAAGGAAGGAAAGAAGTTGTGGTCCACAGGGAGAGGTGGGGTTTATATAGCCCGGATCAGAGCTACATGGGTGAATCAATGAATTCAATAGGAAAGAGTAGGTGAAGGGGTATATTGCTTGGGGAAGGGTGTGGATTGAAGGCGCAGGAGGGTATTCAATGGGTGTAGTGACATTTCGAGAGATTTGAAGTGATTGCTGGGGCACTGCAGAAAAAATTCCGGGTATGGCATCTGATAATCTCTTATCTTATCCCATCAGCTCCTATCTAGTTGATTGAAGAACTCTAATTCTATTATGTCTGAAACCTATTGTATGCAGCCTGGGTACTAAATAGTAACCATGACCCGACATCATGTTATCACCATATTAATCATCCTTCCTGCTAGTAATTATTATCATCCGAACAGAAATATATATAAAGATGGCACTCCGCTTGTTTCCAATACTCCTGCCACCAGATGAATATCAGCATCGACTCCACGACCCCTTACCTCGCCCACAGAATGAATTTTCCTACCCTCCCCACTGTAATCCATTCATTCATATCTCCGTGCAACGAAAATATCACCCGACGGACGCGCCCGGAGTTAAGGCCTATACCCGAATCGGGTGGGTCTTCGCCACAAATCCGGCTACTCGAGCATACACTTTACGGAAGATCAAATAATTGTAGACCCTTGATTGCCGATGTAGATGAGGCAATTGGAGGATAGATATCTTGGTAGTATGCATACCGTTCCTGTAATAGAAAAGATCTGACCCACCCGGTCGGGTCCCGCGGCACCTGATCAGGTTGACCAGGCAAGGGAAGTTGCGCGTGCATAGTCCTGGGTATATTAGGAAGAAAACTTCTCGCAGAACTGTAGTCAAGTTGTAATCGGGCCCAATATTGGTTTAAGCACATTACCCTGGGCCTGTGTATATTTCGCCATTCTTGCATTCAACATAACGCGTCGTCTACCGGTATAGCCTGCAATGCAGTCGTTCACAATCGTCCTACCGAGCAATGCCACGGTGACGGGCATACACTCGATCCCAGATCCAGCCGCATCTCCTCGCCATCGTCCATTGATTGTCGCCTTGCACGGCGGGACTTACGACTGCCATTATTTTGATGCCACGCCAGACTATTCCGCCTCCAGAGCAAGTATTGCTTTCGGCATCCCGTTCGTATCTATTGACCGACCCTGCGTTGGTGGAACTAGCTCCTTTCTGCCCGTCCCGGAGGGATCGAACTTCAATCAAGAAACTGGGCGCTGCTTGCATAGGCATATCCTCCCTGAATTATGGTCTGAATTCGGCAACGGGTGCAATTGCATTGTCCTTCTGTGCCATAGCCTTGGTGTAATGGGAGGCATCGTCGCTGCAGCGATGCATGCACAGGATGAGAAGCCGCGATATCCGCTCGGAGGTTTGATTGTAAGTGGCATGGGTGACAAGGCGTCTCCATCGGCGAACAATTCTCCTCCACCAGTGTATGAGAAGGTCGGCTCGGATCATGTTGCGATGCCTGTGGATGTCAAGGATGAAATGATGTTTAAGCCAGGGACCTGTAGCCCAGAGGTTCTGGCTCACAGTGACCGCCTGAATACAGCAACACCTGTGGTGGAGTTACAGCAGTATCCAACTATTTGGCTTCCCACATGGCGCGACAGTTGGGCGAAACATGTCGCAGCACCCGTTATGTTCGCACTCGTGGAAAACGATGTCTTCTTCGAGGCAAATGAGGAGGAAATCAGAAGCTGCACGGCAGCATTCGAAAACAGCGTCCGGGTTGATGGCAGTCTAGTCAAAGGCGCACCTCACTGCATGGAATTGAGCTATTGGTCGCAGGGGTGGTACGCCCGTTGTTTCGGGTTTGCGATGGAATGCTCTGTTAGTTTAGTCTGCTGAATTATAACTTACACAGTAAGCCTAGACAATAATCAGAAGCAAATTGATAGCCATATCGCACTGGATACTAAACACAGCCATAAGCACCTGGAATCCCGTTTAGGCAGCTGTGCGGCCGGCCGGCAGGATTGTACTCTGCGTGAGCGCATTGCCCTGACTCTGGCAAACACAAATTCCGCAAAAGCCGCAGTAAAAGATAGGCAAATTTGACTCGAGTCGAATGACCAAACACAGCGACCAGAGCCGCTCATGCAAGGGACACTTCTACTCTGTTCTTGTTGGTGCTTGTTAATGCTTGTTAACGTAAGAGAAATCCTACCTCCATTCGGAAGCGGCTGGCTCGGTACATTGCGATTAACAAGGCAATTGACAGGATCAAGGCAAACCTTCAGAGTCAGCTGGTTGATTCGGGCGTGGGATGCCACTAAGAGAGACCAGGAAACAGCGTGTCCGTAGCTGAGATGTCCAATAGGGCTACCTTGCATTAGGCGAGGGGCTCGAGGTCAATGTAGGTTGCTTTGCAGTGCCCGGCACCAGGCTTAGTGCAAGATAAGTGCGCAGTAGTAGATGCACCATTGGCATATTTACCTGCATCCATGGTCCCATTATGCACACGCGGTTCTCGGAAGAGCGCAAGAAGACCCGTAGAATGAGCCAGAAGGCTAGCAAGGATCTAATCCATATGCAGGCTGACCAACATGAGTCTGATGTCAGGTATCGTAGCTAGGGATAGATCAAAGTGCCTTCAGCAACTGCTTCATGCTACCTATCTACTTGATGCCTCAGTACTGAAATCCAGCGAGGGGTCAGTTCAGGATACCATGAGCTACTCGCTCAAGCTTTCGTGTTCCAGGCTAGATCCGCTAAGAGAAAGGCTGAGAGCTGCGTCATTTGACTGGCATCTGGAGTACATTGACCGCTCTGACAAAAGGGGCAGTGTCTGACCACCATTCCGCGCGTCCTCGATAAGGGGTCTCGCAATGGGTAGATTGGGTCGACGAACCGGATGAGGCCTTGAATCAAACCTGGGTGTCTCGGCGCACCATCGTGGCCAATCGTGGCTCCTAGCTTGCTTCGCCAACGCTTGATGAGGAAGGATCACGGCAATCGGTCAACATGAGCGCCACCAACGGACCCTGCAGTAGCTAGAGGCAACCCAGACGAGCAGAGATTGCAGGATCAATAGAATCAGGGGCAGCCTCTGATTTGGATCAGCAAAACTATTTCGCAAGCCTCAGGATACGATGCAGTGATGTCGTGCCAAGACAAGAGAAATAGTACGTAGGAGGACTGCAGGTAGTATATGGGATGCTGCTGCCATCGAGAAGACTCCAAGCAGGCACGGGCTCGATGCTCGAATGTCATTGGCTCCCCTGAACACAGTAGCAACATCCCGAGTAGGAAAGTCCGGGGCCGAGTGACAGACACCTTGACTCGGTGGTATCTAGCATCGTTGCCTGGGAGCAACACACGAGCTGGCATCGGATATGTCCGCTGGAACACAGCAGATGAAAGGAGGTGATCTGACCAGCAGTCAGCCATAGCAGCCCGTCAGTGTCCGGGAGCAAAAATGACACACGTTTCTCGTGGTCGACATACAGCCACGTACCAGAGATCATTCCCGCAAGGGATAGATACGGCATATTCAGCGACCATGTGGGATACCATCCGACACGTCCGTCCACCACTGACACGCCTGGACCATATGGAGCCACTATCCGGCATACAGTGGAAGTTGACAGATTGGTGACGAGTATGCCCGGGTACCAGAGTAGGCGCTGATTAGAGTTTCTTAGAGATGTGGTAGGTTGGCAACACCGGGCCGGTCGTTATCGACAAGCAACAGCACGGTGTCCCGCAACGTGATCGCTACACGCACTCCCACTGGCTGATGGTTGCGTCTAAGCGCCAAGATCCCCTCGGTTTTGAGCAACTAATCTTAGGAGATCGGCTAGTAGACTAGGAATCGATATGCATCCTCCATTTCTCTGCCGCACCAACATTCAGCAAGGGTACGTAGGTGGTATTTAGATCGGCCATGACAGACGACCGTCCGTCCGTCACAATAATACATTGTGAGGCTGTGTCGACTGGAGCATCCCTTCCCCCTTAAGTGTCAGTTCGAAAACGGGTGAAACAAGATTTGCGATACTATGCAAATTGACTCGAGAGATCTGTCAGCATCAAGATTATGCAAGGGAGAGGCTGACAAGTCAACGAACTTTGTGGTAAGTATGGGGAGAAAGCGGCCAAATGGGGACGTGCGTGGTAGCTAGTGGTCGTGTGAGGTTCTCAACCGTCAATGATAGGAGCCCCTCCTTCTCCATGTCAGCCAACAAAAGTTTCCCCCACCGCATGATCATGAAGCAAAGCGGTTTCTCCGCAGGATTAGCCGTGTGTAGCGTAGAAATTGAATGAGTTGTTGGCTGTGACCGCAATGCTCACTTGGCCTCCTTCCCTTCCGGGTAGCCAGCCAGCGTGGAGAGAAAGACCAGCTTATGCCCGCTTATGCGTTTGCTGCCACCCCGTCAACCGAATGCAGACCAGCTGTCCTCTGATTGGTGCGGGTGGGGATGAGGGTCTTTTATTCTAGAAGGCGGTATCAGACGATCCGGCGGGATTCGAGGAGATTCTGCCACCACGTGCGCCGTTGATTGGTCGGCGGCACACGTTCGCGTCCGGAAGATCCCCGCCGACTTAACCATTAATCATCGCACTAAAACTAAAGTATCTCTTCTACTTTAGTTCCGCCGCCACTCGACCCGATGTGGGTTGCTTTAGAAAAGTGCTGTATCCATTGGAGATACGGTCATGGACTAATGTCAATTAGGCAATAAACCACGAGATCCATCTCCAATACTGCAAGTAAGGGGAGACAGAATGATGTTGTGCTCGTGGTGGGTGTTCAGACCCTGAAGAAGACGAAGCTTACCTCTGCGTTCTGCAGTATTACCATCCCCCCAGTGTGCTGTTGTGTTGGGCTGTTGTGAGAATGAACAGAACCCCGGCACACACAGAGTAATAAGAAAAAAAAAAAGCGAAAATAAAATTATGCTTTCGAGGCTCGTGGGAAGTTTCACCCGCTTCTAGGGTTGCTTGGCCCTGCACCAGAAGGTTGTTCTGGGCAAAATGGGGCAGAGTTGCCTGCCATTCACCACTGACACGGCAGCCTCGACTCCGGAGGCCCAGTGGAACCCGCCACACTAAGTAGTACGTTGGATCTTCTCCACTACCCAGACCTGCTTTTGGCTTATCACGTTCCACCATTCGGACATGTGCCTGGAGCACGCTGGTGGGCTGGTTCTGGTCCACGCCTGCCCAGAGATTTTCCTTTTGCCGTCACCCTCCGAATATAAGTTTCGACGGCTGGCCGTTGTCCGACTTGGCCCGCATCGTGTGTGACGCCTTCATCACGTTCAATCCGAGCTTGCTCTCTCGTCCTCCTCCTCTCCTCTCTTAGGAGAATACCCTCAACGGACGTCTCAAGCTTTCTCGCGTCCACCCCTCTTTGTCGTCAATTTCCCGGACTGTCGGACCACTTTTCGACTGGTCCTTCGACGACGCCACCATGACGGACTTCGGCCTACGCGCTCCTCATGGGCCCGACATGTCGGGAACCCATAACCCTCTTGAGGATATGGATATTCACGAGAAGGGCGCTTTTGACGCCCTCATTCGCCCCGACGACAGCTATACTCCCGATGGCACATATTGGGCCGACCTGCCGCTCCTGAAGCGGATCAAGTTCGTCGGTTCCTACGACGCCGCAGAAGCCAAGCGGGAACTCAGTTCGATATGGCAGATGACAAAGGAAGATCCTCTCTCGCCCATCTCGTACTATTTCCGAAATATGGTTCTTCCTGGTGCTGGTCTGGGTCTCGAGGGGTACGTATTGGTCTAAGTCACCGGCTGAAGACGCGTTGTGCTCACATTATCCCTCTTTAGTTACGTTTTGTTCTCCATCGGAAACATCAAACCCTTGTTCGAGGCCTCTTTCAAGTCCTGCTGGGATGATCATACGATTTGCAACAAACAATGGATCAACGCGGTCGACTATCTCGAGATTGTCGGTATCATCTTCGGCCAAATTTTGGTCGGAATTGTCGGTGACTGGTAAGTTCTCGATTCCAGAGAATGCATCGCGGCAATCATAGCTAATTGATATCAGGCTCGGTCGTCGCTGGGGTCTTATTCAGGACGCTGCAATCATGTTGCTGGGTTTGGTGATGCTTACCGCTGCTTGGGGTGTCACCGAGAACGGCTGGGTCATTTGCTACGCTTGGTCATTGTTCGTCTACGGCATTGGTGTTGGTGGTGAATACCCCATGACTGCCACTAGCGGTATGGAAAACGCTGTCGGCTCCGGAAAGGTCTCGACCAAGGAGGACCGCCTCCACCGTGGTCGCAAGGTCACCAGTGCTTTCTTGATGCAGGGTTGGGGTCAATTCTTCAACCAGGCCATCCTGATCATTCTGCTGCTCATCTTCCACCACGGTAGCGGTAACCCGCCTTACTCTTCAGTAGCTACCCAGTGGACCTACCGCATTTCTTTCGCCATTCCCGCTGTCGGCACCTTGTGGCTGGTGTACTACCGTGCCTACCACATGAAGGCTGCTAGCAAGCAGCTTGCTGCGGCTAAGAAGAAGGCTTCTGTTACTGGATACGATGTCAACTCCTTGAAGCTGACTTTCCGTTATTTCGGTTTCCGCATTATCGCTACTGCCGGTGGCTGGTTCGCCAACGATGTCTTCTTCTACGGCAACAAGCTTTTCAGTTCCGAGTTTATCAAGGTGCTTAGCCCTGGAAGCAACTCTATCATGCCAACATGGCTTTGGAGTTTGTGCAACATCGGTGTGTCATTGGCTGGTTACTACTGTGCTTCTTTCCTTGTCGACAACAAGCTCTACGGTCGTAAGTGGATGCAGATGATCGGTTTCCTCATGTGCTTCATCCTCTTCGTCGTCCCTGCTTTCCACTATGAGTACTACACCCGGCCTGAGAACATCCACGCTTTCCAGGCGATGTACTTCTTGAGTTCTTTCTTCAACCAGTTTGGACCCAACTCTGTCACTTTCCTGGTGGCTGCTGAGGTGTTCCCGACTCCCATTCGTGCGACAGCCCACGGTCTCTCCGCCGCTTGCGGTAAGAGTGGTGCACTCCTGGCTTCCGTCTTGTATAACTACATCGACACCCAGACCAAGTTCTACGTTGTCCCTTGGTTCGGTCTTGGTGGTATGGTCTTGACTTTGTTGTTCCTGCCGGATACCACTGGTCTTGATCTGAAGGAGCAGGAGCGTCGCTGGCAGTACATCCGCGACGGCCGCGAGCAGGAGTACCATGGCCCTGCTATTCACTCCAAGCACCTTTCCCTCTGGGAGCGTTTGACGGGCGTCGGAAAGAACTACAACGCTGAGCTCGACTACAAGCACAAGGTTGAGGAGTACCGTGCCGAGTGGGAGGCCGCCATGACCGCCAAGATCTCCGAGAACGAGAAGGGCGAGGACTTCGTGCAGGACACGGATGACTCCCTCCTGGAGGGCCATGTCCATGCCTACTTCCACCGCACCAGTCCCATGTTCCGCCCGATGGAGCAGACTGCCACCAAGACGGATAATTTCGCGCTGCCTCCCGCGGCGCAAGATTCGTCTACGGAGTCATATAACGAAAAGTCCGAACTATAAATGGCGTTCTTCTTTTCTTTCGTTTTGGGTGTTCATTTTGGAAAGCGAGCATGTGTGATTGATTGGATGTGACACGTCCGATTTTGGATGATGATGACACGCATTCCATTTTTGCATTCTTAGTACATTGTTTTTTCCTTGTCAGCTGTCGAGCGAGAGATGTCTTCATTCCTTTCGTCTTGCACTCAATACCCAGGTACATACATGGTACTCGTTAGTATATAGACTTGATTAATATATATACCCATGAAGTGATGGTTCGCGCATGATATGGGATTTTCCACATACAACAATGATCCATATATTCATCCACCCACCCATGAATTTCCTATGGTACAACGCGTAGTATCTCATGTAACCTGCCTATTACTAGTACTACATCACGATCGTGACACCTACTAAGATCTCCAACCATGCATCCGATCCCTGCCAGCGCAACGCAACGCAACGCGCCGCGCCGCGCCCCGCACACATGCATTCTGCCGGGGGTTGCATCCCACCATATTCTCCAAATAGGCAGGCGATAAGAAAAGCGGTGTCGTAACTTCAGACCCTTTCCCCTCACATCAACACATCACCTTTAAAACGCATATTTCATAATCTTGTCATATCATGTCCTATTTTACAATATAATCACTCAATCTACTTTAATCCTCCTCTAACACTCCAGACCTAACCATCTTGACATCACCAATTGATCCCCACAATACAGACCCAGACACAGATACAAAAAACCCCACCTCCACCGAGAAAAACAGAAGAGGATCATCATGCCCCTCTACGCCTTTGGCTCCAACGGCTCCGGCCAACTCGGCCTCTCGCACACAGAAGACGTCTCCATCCCGACGAAATGTCTCTTCGATGATGACCAACAACAACAACAACACCACCCCACCGCTTCCTCCTCCTCATCATCCGCCTCAAACACACCAACGATATCCCGTATCGCAGCTGGCGGGAACCACACCCTTGTTTTGTTCTCCGATGGGAGGGTATATGCAGCGGGGTGTAATGAGGATGGGCGGTGCGGCGGGGGTAGATTAACTTCTGGGAGTGGGGATGGAGATGGGGAGGTGGTGAGGTTTCGGCGGGTTGTTGTTAATACTTCCTATGGTGATGGTGATGGTGATGGTGATGTGGGAGAGGAGGACAGGTTTACAGACGTGTCAGCTACATGGGAAGCGACGTTCCTGGTATCCGGGAGGAAAGTGTATGTCCTAGGAACTGGGGGGAGGGGGGAATTGGGGGTTGGGGAGGGGAAGACCAATGTGAAAGAAGGGGTTAGGTGCATTGAGTTCGAAGATAAAGTCATCAGTATAGCGAGTGGGATGGGACATACGGTTGTTGTGCTGGAGGGAGGCCAGGTGTATGGGTGGGGAGGAGGGAGGAAAGGCCAGTTAGGTGCTAAGGGGAAAGAAATCAAGATTGCTTGGGAACCTGTTAGGATTGACGAGGAGGAGATAGGGTTTCGGGCGATGGGGGCAGCGTGTGGAAGGGAGTTTACGGTTGTGGTTGGGGATAAAGAGAAGGGGCAGTTTGTTGTGCTGGGGTCGCCTGGGGATAAGTGGGGAGTTATGTCTGGGGGGAAGGAGCCTGTGGGCTGTTTCCAGGGTATACAGATGAGTTGGCATGGGGTTTATGTACATTGTTCTGATGGGAGGGTGGTGAGTTGGGGGAGGGATGATCGGGGGCAGTTGCCGCCGGGGGAGATGGGCGTGGTGAAGGGGTTGGCTGTGGGGAGTGAACATGTGCTTGGTCTTGTTGATGGGAGGACGGTCGTGGCTTGTGGTTGGGGAGAGCATGGTAATTGTGGTCCTGTTACGGATGCTCAGGGGAATGTGAAGGGGGGGTGTTGCCAGATACCTTTGCCGGATGGGGTGGGGGAAGTTGTCGGGCTCGGTGCGGGTTGCGCCACGAGTTGGGTGATTACTCGGGATTGAGGTAGAAGTACTCATGCTGAGGGAGGTTCTCTTCATGGTCTGGTGTAGGGTGGCTGTTCAGTCGAAGAGACCAAGGCCGTGCAGCTACGGGTTGTCAGCACGATCAATAGATGCGAGTGCGCTCGACTTACCTGGGACATGCGCTGAGTAGGCGGAATGCCCATCTCTTCCTCCTCATGGCTCGTCTGTGCGATTCGGGGTTCGATATCTCGTAGCCCAGGGCCTGTGCTTGTCTTTTGGGGTCTGTCAGTAATAGCTTTGAGTCTATGATGGTTTGAGCCATACCTGCTCTCCAGTTGCATCCCAACCGAGCTCGTCCTCGACCGGACCTTCATCCTCATCGTTTGGCACGTCCCATTGCCTGTCGTCATCCGCTGGAACAAACAGACTGTCGAACTCCATTGATGGCGGCGGTTGTCGGGTCTCGTTATTGGATTGCGAAGCCCGGGTAGAAGTCCCAGTGAGTGGCCGAATCGACCGACTGCGGGGAGGAGGCATTTGTGCAGTCTCTGGAGCCGTGTTTCTTTGGCTTATCTGCACGGGGGCAGGGGTTTGACGTGCGGATAACTGGGGCGCTGCTCGAGATGAGCCTGGGGCGTCCTCTCCGGGTGAGTCTCCTCTAGTCATCAGCGTGAACTCGGTTTTGACGCCCTCGGATTCGTAGGCGAATTGCAGGGGACGAGATGGACGGGTGAACCGGGCGGTGATCTTTGCATTTGCTGTCTCAGCATGTGCTATTGCCGCCTTGAAGTCCTTCATGTGGATGGCCACGTGGAGATGGTCTTCCGCTAAGTAGTAATCGAAGTCCCTTTTCTCAATAGCTACGGAGGTGTGCACCGGCTGGCGAAGGATTTCTGTAACAGACTGTGAGTATGGGGGTAACTCATAGAAGGGCGGGTAGCATTACCTTTTCCATCTGAGCTTTTCGTGGTAAAGCTGGTGAAGACGGCCTTGCCTTGCTCGGAGTAGATATCTAGATGCTCTGCCGAGGGACCGAAATGATCTGTTATCTCCTTCAGATACTTCGGTTCGATGCTCCATTCGTTTGTCGCTTTGGATCTGTCGAATATGGCATGTTGTACATGGACAGGTTCATATGTTAGCTTGTAGAGCTTGATGACGCCTGAGAGGACTGTAAGCTGGAGCCACAGATGAGCTTGTATTGGGTTGGTCGGAGCCTTACCAAGTCCACATATTAATCTGATGATGAGTCGGCACTCGCTTTCATCTAGATCTTCTTGGAGCTCGACCTCGCACCGTTCGACAGAAGTGTCCTTATCACGTCCACTCGTCTTCCCTTTGAAGGCTGATAGGAGAGCCTATGGTATGTCAGCCAGAGGATGAGACTACATAGTACATAGGTTCCCACCTTGATCAACACCTGACAGCTGAACTTTTCCGGATGAGCAGTTCTAGAGGAGCTGCCATTCCTCACTCTACCAAAAGAGTAGGATTCGAAAAAGCCATCCGCCTCGAAGACGAACGCAGAGTAGGCCGTCTTGGATGAATTTAGCACGCTTAAACGGAGCTTGGTAACATTTTAGCTTATTTCCAGCCTTATTTAATTAAAAACATAAGCTTACCAGATCGATCTCAGCTTCTATTGCCACACTATCGTCGAATTTTGCTAGACACATCAAAGCATCATGTAGTTGGTATATCGCCTTCGGGGCGAGCGAGAATGAGAGAGTTGTCATGCTTGTTTAGGAGAAGAACAGCATATCCAGCTGTAAGCAACTCTATGAAGACTCCTAACAATATAAAGTTTATCTGCAGTGACACCCTCGTTAAACCTTCAATATGGCTCTTGGATCTTATTGGGATCCTGTCACTCGGTCATGGCAGATCGCAAACACGACGCGAGCTTACATAAGCGGGACTGTACGGGAGGCGCCTTGCTTCCTCAGTCAGCTCCCAGGACACCACTGAGCATCGATCCTCGTGATGCTGTATTCGAGACGCTAGAGGCAGAGATTGAACAGAGCTATTCTGGTCGGTTGTTGTGCTATATATTTTGGAGTGGTCAGTTTCCTGGTCTCGTGAAGATGGCCTTCGCGTTAGCCAGTGACGTACTCTATATGATCTTGGATATCCTGGGCGATGAGAAGGATTACAACAGCCTTTTTCAATGCGCTATTTCTTCGAAATGCTTTACTGAGCATTCCTTGGCGGTATTATACAAGTAAGTCTCCATATATTGATGCAATGGCGCGTTGGTGGTGGATGCTGATGATGACAGGTTATGTGATACTTCGCCAGTGAGGGGCGGAGGTACAGAAGACGAGCAGTTCAGGTCTCGGAGAGTAGCCACCGTTTGGTCTACCAGAGGCGAACAGGATCCGGTTATACGAAAATGGGCCCTATTATGGCGTTCTGTTATCCTGTCTACTTTGGACCAAACTTACCTCCCTTACTATAGCTATATCCGCTATCTTGATTTGGATGACTTCGGGGACCTTCTTAAGGAGCCGCGATTTACGAAGACGATGAAGGAGTATGTTCCCACTACCAACTACATGTCATTCGCTGTTTGACGTTTCTAGTGATTTCTTTACCCCAGAGCTGTTGGAATTAGTATCCCACGACTACGAAGTCAAGGGTTCCAAACGACTCCGCTCGTCAAAAGCCTATCCTGACAACGATTGGGTCATGGTGAAGATTGGCACAGGTTGGTCTCTTATCCTTCTCAGCTAACATAAAGCGTTACTACATTATCGTGTTCCTCGGTGCTGACATCTGAAAGCAATCATCCAAAAGACTAGGTCAATACGAGGAATGTCTTGTAACGGTAGTCTCCATCTAGGCTCCATGAACTTCCTTAGTCGGTCCAGAGATGTCTGATCGCTCTCTAGTACCACCGGAAACCCTCTCTGCATGGATCGAAGGGTTACCCTTGCTGAAATCCCTGACAATATGGTCCGGGGATGCACTAAGCCAACATGCTGGCGATAAGATCCGCCACCACTCTCCTGATTTCAAACAGCTTACATTATACGGATGGTATGTCTCCGTGACGAGTGCCGGCCTGTCATGCTCATATAGAGAACAGGAAGAATGATCCACCGAGGAATGCGGAGGCTGACTCTGAACAATTCCTGACTGAATTGCGCCCCAATACTCTAGAGTACTTTGAAGTCCTCAGCTACTCTCAGCTGGGCCCTCGCTCTATCAAATCA